CCTAGCAGTAAATACTGAGACATATGTAAGGCAAGTGCACAGTTATAATTTTGCTCCCGCCTGGAATAGAACCCGGGGTTGCACCGTGGAAACAAGCTCGCTAGCCAACGAGCCACCGAGGGCATTGTTTGTAGCTTCCTTGCATTCCAATTTGTTTATATGGTTCATTTCAATTATTGATGTTTTGTCATTTTAATCGGCGGAAGAAAAGTTCAATTCTGATGAATCAATAGAAAAATCTTTCATTCTGATCACTCAATATTTGTTCCGCGTCCGTCGTGACAAGAGCATGGACTGCTGTAGTTCCCTACCTGTATCCGTCTCCCCTCTCCCCGCAGCAGGGCACCGCGAAAGCCTTCTCCAAAGGTGACAGTTGCAAGAGCTGCTACACGAAATATTGTCTTTTTAGTTTAAAATCGCATGTCATAAAGTATAATTTTATACTCAAATTACTCAAATATTTGATACAAAATTTTAACCTATCCGTTACTAGTGAGAAAAATATATAGTTCCCTTGAAAAAATAAAAGACTGATGAATAAATTTTTCAACGAAGATGAATCAATTTTTCAAAAACTAAACACCAAATGAATGCAGGAACAGTACCCTAACAATCAGGCCATGGACCGTGCGTGATTTCTTTCCTCTTCCTTATCCTATCCTCACCCCTTACGTTCATCACATATGCCGTGAGACCAGTCGAGAGCTAAGCCTGTCTGGCTAAGGCGATGCCCCGCTGCGGGTGGGAGATCGTTGGTTGAGGAAAAATGTCGCAAGTCCACGGGTACCAACCTCGGCGCCGGTTTTCACCATGCAGCGGGGTGTGATCACCGACAGCTCCCGATGGCGGCGATGAAAATATATCCTGCAATCACGGTACTAATGACCTTAGTCGTTGCCGCGCACGGAATCACTAAACAATTAAAAACTAAAAATTTCATGGACACTATCTCTACATATTACTTGCTCCAAGACCACATTGTTCAGCGAGAAATGCATTCCTATATCGTGAACCGTTCAGGATTTATGAGGGTATTCCATAGTTGGAGGGGCAACACCCACTATTTTTTAAACAAATGTCGAGATATTATTTATCTGTATATTAACTATGGTCTCCAAACCTATCACCTAAACCTGACAAAGTTTTCACAGCAATGAAAAGAAATGTTGAAAATATAACGCCACATTTTGGATTCTTCGCTAATTAAATATACTGATAACTGATGTTAGCTTTCCCAAGAAAGTTACCAGCAGCAACTGCATTCTCGAAACAGAGGCGTAGCTTCAGTTGGTGTCACACGGGGCAAAACTAATGGAATCATTCCCCCTTAACTAATATAAAAGTATATATTACAGAATAGTTTATACTTGTACATTATTTAATAAAAGTATAAGTATATTTGCACATGACATTTATTTATAATACATTAAAAACTAAATTTTTTTAAACTCATTTTCATAAAAAATGAGGTAGAATTTGACAAAGTAGTTAAATTACAATTGTAGTAAATTACACTTCTGAAGTAAATTATTCTGAAAAGTTATGTACGAGTTTTTGGATGAGAGGTCTCTAATCGCAATTGATTGATTATCTTAAAATGATTTGAAGTTCTAAAAAATTGAAAATTTTTATGGGAAATATAATAGAACAATTTTAATGCATGGTTGTATTAATTCAAAAGATAAACACAACATAAATTTTCTCAAAGTGCAAAGGACACGAAGCTCTAAAACGTTCGTTCAAATAGTCTAGAAAGGACTATTGATGAGAGAGGCACCTGGCACCATTGTTTATAGAACCTATCGAATTAAATGCTTACCTGTTAAATCGACCACTAATTGCATGGTTCTTCTCTTACTTTGCTTTCTTTATGCACAACATCGCGTTGTAAAAGATATGTTTGAGCCTGTCCGACGCATTTTACGCCAAAATTCTATTTTAATCAAATAAATGGGCCATTCTCATTTTAAATATGAAACAGAATGCCCTCGTTCCTGTCACTAGTTTTTCACTTTCGTTCACCGATCTCGCAACGTATAGATCGATTCATTGCGATAAGGGATACAACTCAAAAGGGCTTGTTTTGACATATCTTTTCTTAAACACCATCTTTCTTCGAGTTATATGTATGTAACTCATATTTATCAATTGCGTCTATTATGTTATTTCATAAAGTTGCTTTTTTTTGCTGTACTAGTCAATGAAACTCACCAACCCAACCTTCTAGGTTACCTGATCCATGAAATATAAAAATTTCACTTTGCAGCTAGTGATTTCAATACGGTATTTAGAATCAATGCAGCGTTTCAATTATTTTTTTTACTTGTTTAAAATAAAAACATGTAACCTAAGGATCGGAAATTGCATTCATTATCTATGTCCGACACTCCCGGTCAGCTTCGACGAATGTAGTATTTGCGGTAGAGGTTACAAGCAGCTGAATTACTACAAATCAAAACAAAAAAACTGTGAATACAAAACCGATCTCAATCTCAGTAAATTAAGGTGTTAGCTTACCGTTTTCTTCAACAAAACCGGAGAACACTCAGGGATCTCACACAACCTCACATTGTTGTCACGAATACATCTTCATCAAGAAAAATAAAAGTTCGACAGTGATGCCAACAAAACGAAATGCAAAACTACCATTCAGAAATCTCAACACCCCTGCTTGTACCTTATTGTCACTACTGGATGGCTGAGCTTCAGCGAGTGTAAGTAAGATTCACTGTACCTATAAAAATAATAAACTATCTACAAATGCGAACTGTCAGGGCAACGAAATAGCAGGATCAGATTCGTTAAGTGATTATGGCAATATTTTCTCCCAAAAGACAGTACAGTTTCTAAATATGAGTTTTCTATTTTTTAAAGTAATACGTTTCTATTAAATGTTCCATGTAACATCTTTCTGTAAAATTTAAAAAAAGCTCAGTGAAAATCATTTCCATAAAAAAAACTTTTTTGGGCCTGATAAATATTCCGATAAGGATTTTCAATTTAAAGCTGGTACCTGTTGTTAGTTGAAGCTGAATAATTAACTGATAGTGAATATTGCATGCATTATCGAGGTACGGTATCATGGCATTAGGGTCGCGTGTAATGCATGCGCGACCACATCCTGTCGAGCCCAGCGTCCCTACGGGGGCGGCCGTGGGAAGCCCCTAGCGGCGCAGGGGCAGAGGCAGTGGAAGGAGCGGCGCAAGGGAGGTGCGGAAGCGACGCAGGAAGGAAGCCGTCGACGAGACGGAGGACGCGATGACGGCGGTGGCGGCGGCTCCTGGTCTGGGGCCGCCCCAGGCCGAGCCAGACGGCTGGTCGCCAGCCAACACCATTACAGCTGATTCCACTTCATAACGCTAAAGGACTACTCTCTACTTCTCCACTTGTCTGGAAACGAAGGCGCCCACGGGGGCAGTTAGCACGCATTAGCCGTACAGTCCGGGCAAGCGACGCGGCGCACGGCACTCCCGAGATCCAGGCCTTCGCGTAGGCCATCACTTGTTCACTTACCCTCCAATGCCGCTCTCGCTGCCGCAGCAGCGCTCAGCAGGCGCCGGCGCCGCGGAGCGTGAACCACGATGTACACCCTCAAGCGCTCCATTCGTCCCAAGCTTTTTCCTTTCCCGCTCCGCATTCTGAGCTGGGCCTCGCCAACGGGAAGGTTGTCGCTTTTAAACAGGGTTCGTCGGTGACAATGATGGCTTGACACAGCTCGGAAGGCCGTGGAAGTGGTGTGTTAAGAAGGAATGCAAGACGCCTCCACCGTTTTTGGCTTCGGTAAGTACAGATCTCATGTTAGCAGAAGACGCCTTCGCGAATAACATGGGACTGAGAAACGGTTAATGCTTCGCGGGAAGTATGCTGTTACATTTGTTTATGTCAATCAACTGATGTCGAGAATGCTTTGGTGAAAGAAGAGTCACGAAAACTAATGCTTTATAAACAAGTTAGGTTTGAGATTGGTTTTATACGTTGGTCGTGATAAATAATGAATTTTAATGAAAAATTTATTCATATTCCCATTCGATTATATGCATTCCATGATATTACTTAGTAATTTAAATGATGTATTGCCACATATTTGTTTACCTTTTTTTGAGTTGGCGGTTTAGTGTCTACCAGAGAGGGAGGAAAAATGATTGGAAAATAATTAAAATTAAATTAAGATTAGGGTTGGAAAGGTTGAGATAATACATTACACTTTAACTATCACCCTTGTATTTTTAATTGAGACAATGCAAATGTATTGAGGAATTTCTGATGATATGTTCTATCTTATTAAACTTTTTTTAGTCACCAATTCTGTTAATGAAAGAATGGATATTTTAAATGTATGCCAGTAACATAAAATAAAGAATTTTTATCTTCAGTATTTTCTCTTCTACAAATATTTTTATCTGCATCTCCTAAAATGATAAAAATATAATCAATGTACTCAATGTTCATATAATACATGATAAAAATGAAACTTAATAATAATCCTAGTTTTGGGTTTGAAATGTGAAGAATGTTTTCCAGAATACATACAGTAGGACATAAGACACACAAGGATAAATTATTTACAAGAGAAAATTTGTCTGCTTACAAATTAATTTTGTCAAGGAACATATTGTACACTGTCAAATACAGTTTTTTATGGAATGGGTTCAAAAAGATCAATAATATGATCCAGGTCAAGAAGGAATTACATATTTTATGTATCTGCACATACCTGTAAATACGTTTTATTAATTTTCAACATGAAACAAGGTATTTGGTAGAACTATAAAGTATGCTACACAAATACACCCATGATGCTGTAGACATGAAAAATAATTTAGTGTACATGCTAAGGACATTGTCTGAACATTGGAAGAACTGAATTTGTTTCATTTTAATGTACCTCATATCACATACCATCACCTTCCTGTTACAGTAAATACCCTGTGACAGAACCATAGGTACTGTACTTCATGTAACGTAATGAAAGATAGGTGTTAGAGAAGCAATTGGTGCATTGCAATAATTTGTGAAACTAATGGTCTTTTTTTTCATAAATGTTAAAAAAAAAAAAATTCAGAGCAATGCTTATTAATGATTTTAAATTAATTTTGAAACAAATCTTTTACCACCAGGCAAATATGGAAGCCTTCTCAGTGATTTTTAGTGCAGAAATTTATAGTTTCCTTAAAAAAAAAGAGCAACAAAAATATGTAATCAAAAGCATTGAGATCATTTGGTTGAGATTCATACAGCCTTTTGTGTGAAAAATTATTATGGGAATTTATAATTTAGAAAAAGTATGTGATGTTTTGATTTAAATTAGAAAATAATTTTTTTAGGCTGAGTAGCATGTCCTACAGAAAGAGGACTCACAAAAGACAGGAGGTGTGAATAACACACAACACCTATATAAATATATGTATATATAGCCCACTTACCCATTTGACTACACGATAAGTACCTCACAGTCAACAGGTTCATATCTTTGAGACTGTAAAGAGTACACATTTGGGGGAAGGTACAGCAATTGGTTAAAAAAATTGAACCTACTCCAGAAGAGTTGATTGTTTAATATATTTTCATTGTACTTGCAAAGCACAGTCTTGCCCAATTTTATCATTGTGTTCATCAAATCTTATTTCAGAAGTAATATACCACCTTGCTTGCTCAGTGATCAGTGCAAGTATGATATCCTATTGTCAATAGAAATTGTATGGTATCTCAAACTTCCTTCCTGTCCCCCAGACTCCTCCTCCTTACAGTCTCCTTGGTTCATAAGTCACAAATGTTAATGCGTCATTCTCTACTCTCAATGTTTCTTGAAGGGATAGAATGTTTTAATGGATCCCAGTTATCAACTGAGCAAAGAATGTACACACCACTGCACATAAATTACTTTTGAGGAGTGTAACACATGTGAAAGCTTACATCTCTCTTTATTATAAAAACCATTCTACCCAATTTTTTTCTTGCTTCACAGTTTGGTATTTACAGCTTACAATATAAATAAAATTTGAGTTACATGTCATAAAGACAATCAAATGTACAAACACTTCAAATTGAAGAACCATGTGCATTCTTGCAGCCATACACACACCCTTTGTCATTTGGACACTGACATTTACAAAAGTGAGAACTATGGCTTTCACAACTGAGAATGCCTACATATATCTTTAAGAGTACTGTACATTTCAATGATTATGATATACAAGAACAATGTAAGTTTAGTAATACCAATAACACACTGAACTGATACATGTAGGAAAAGTCAACACAAAACACCCATTGTTGCTCCCTAAACAGAAAATAGTTAACAGGAGCATTTGGTGCACATAAAACACCCACCAAGAAATAACAGGACAGATAAGGAAGGATATACACAATATTTTTCCCCAAAATGTACAGCAAGGACTAGGAGCCTATCCATGCATTTTTCTAATGGTTTATTGTGGATATGAATGCCTGATAAAATGAGATAATTCCACAAACAAATAATAACAGTGAAACAATTGCTGAGAGAGCACAACCTTTGCAAGAAAAGGTTAAAGTCAACACTCCATGTACAGCAATTCCACAATATAATATAGATTCACAACAATATCTTAACTTCAGCTTCTGGCTGAATAAGTACATATGGTTTGTGCATTTTTGTATGAATAGTTGTTCAGTGAAGCTATTTCCATTCCAGTTTTTTTACTTTGTAATTGAGAGTATTATGTCAGAGTCCATGAGAGTTAAAAACCTAATAGACCTGGCATGATTTATTTTTACTGACTCACAAAGAGTAGCTAAAGAAGCATTCATTCAAGAGATCTTCAATGTCTCACTTAAAAAATAAATTTTAGTTATAAAATGACAAATATACTCGAGACACATTAATACAAACTAACCAGATTGATGCATTTTAGTGAAAGTACTGTGACCAATCTATTGCAATTATAAACTTCTAAATATATGTTCAAAATGAAATAAACAGAGACTGAAATAACAAATAAAGGTACATGCAAACTACAATTTTACAATTTCTCAAAGAAATATATAGATTAAAACAGAAAAGTTTATAACACCATAGGCATTATTACAAAAATAGTTAAAATAATGCTACAAGACAATACAAAAATGTAATTTTAATGTAACACTCTAATTTTGTAAAAAGGTTTGTACTTAAATCAATTAATAAACTGCATATTATGCAGCTGCCATGAAAATAAAACAAAATAAGTGTAATTTAATTAATAAAGAGTATTTTAATATCACAAGGGTTTTTATAAACATTTCACTGATATTCGTTGATACACATCAAAAAATTAAATTAATCTTTCATGAATGCATGAACAGTGCCTATGAATACAAGTAAGTACTATGTAGGTAACACTAAACAAATATACAAACCGCTTCTGCTGTATAATTGAAAAGCTTTTTCAAAAATATTCACATCATGGGACTTGTGCATTATGTGACAACTTGAGTTTTTTCATAAATTTTCAACATGTAAATAACAATGTAATGAAGGGAACAACAAGAAGCAATTTAAAAGCTTTAAGTAAATCTGGAGGAACAATTCTGTAATGGATTGTTTTTTGTTGTTTTTGTTTTTGAAATCAGCATAATCACATGTTGATCCTCAGAGATGTACTATGCACATATATAAACATTCAGTTCATCTACAATGCACAAATAATGGTAGAATTGTCAGTACAAAAGAAAAAAAAACAGGTTCAAATCAACATTTTTTCAGTTCAGTCATCAATAGTTTAAATAAAGTAGTCACTGGATCGTAAAAGCACAACCCTCCATTGACATCTTGTTATTTTATGTTTACAACTGAAATTTGTCAGCATCACATCCAAATGTCACAGTCAGTGTCAAATAAGATGCAATCTCATGTCATTTTTCTGATAAAGCCTCTAAGAAGAGATTCCAATTTAGCACATAGTGCTAAAATTACATTCAATGATAACAATGGACAGATTTTTCACAAATATTTATGTAATTTTTGGGCCCCATGCACAAGGCAACACACAAGTTTACAATGGGCCAAAGATATCACTCAGGTTCTGTACAATTCTTGTGGTAACTTTCATATTTCATTTAATCCATTTACACATATACAACATTTCTCCACAGCTCTTAAAGAATTTCCTACTTCAGATAATGTTAGTAGATTTAAACAATTCTATTTTTCTAATTATAATTGCCAGAGGACTATGGAATACCTCCGTAATCAAATGCATTATCTTATTATAATCATATTCACAGTTTCAAAGAATATACAGTACTTGTGAAGAGGATTATCAATTTTCTCACTCCTATACTGACTTACAATCTCCAAAGAGACATGTACTTACACAGAATCATATATGTGTATAAATATATACATATGTAAACAAACTTTCAGTCATACAGTTACTCAACCACACTGTACAAAATGTTCCATGTGTTTCATTAATACTGCACAAGGTGGAAAGGAATGCATTCCTCTTGTACATTTTCAAATATTGGTGAATTATGAAAGATCCTATTGTATTGAATTAAATGCAGAATAGTAAATTTTAATTCTAAGTAGCAATATTGTTCAAAACCAGAAATTCAATAGCCGATTTTCTTTAAATTTCATTTTATTTTAGTGCCACTTGTAGACAATATGTCTTTGTGCCTCCACCTAAAATTTGATAAGAAGCACAGTAAAATTTTTTTGTATCAGATCTTGGTCCATAAAATGATGACTTGGATTCAACATAAATCAAGTACAATAGAGAGAATTATGTTAATTTTCACAGTACATCCTTTTTAAAATACGTGTCTCCTAGTGTGAGATACCTTCCATTCCTTAGAACCCGTATCAAATCAGATACTACAATAGTCTCACTTTATGCTGTCACTAAGATGTAATAGTGTAATATACTAAGCATCAGTGACAGAATTTACTTAAAAATTTCCCAAAATTGTTTTCCTCTTTGAATGTCTAAATCTCTCTAATTTTAAATTGATCTTGACTTTATTTTGGACTACTGGAGGAACTGAGTATTGTGAGCAGGGAATCTGGGTTGTCAGTAGTCTCAATGTCACCATTTGGGGGACTATTTTCCACTGACCAAAACCCAATAGTTTGTGCTCTTGTTTGTTGTGCTTCCACTCACTGTGCTTCTGTTGAAAGTGCTGTATTGTGTGCCTGGTTATCACAATTTCTTCACTGTGGCTCGCCATTTCTGGGTGGGTGACCGGGAATCACAGCGATCAACTCTCAATCCGAAAGTTTTATGATCCTTTGAATCAATGCATAGACTAAGTCGACTATGTTTTATAAGTCCTCCTGCTTCCACTTGATGCCATTTCTGAAGGAAAATGAAAAGAATCAATCAGTCGCTAACATTTTAATATGAATAAAAACATTAAAAACTGCAAGAGCTCTAAGAGATAGAATTGCACAACCTAATACTTCCAAAATATTTGTAATACACAAGCTAAATTTAAGTTACGTAAAGCTTCTAGTAGGGAGTCTTAAAGTGATATTAAAAACTGTTAATGTTTGAATATTTTAAAGAAATAGAAAATTCTAAATCTGTGTTATGCACACCAATACAACTCAAATTAAATTATAAAATAGCTTCATTTATATAAGAACAATAATTACCTTAGAGACTTAGCAATAATTATTAAAATAATTTATAATAATCAAAAATGAATTAAATGCTGAAGTAGATTGTACAATTTAATTCTTAAAAATTTATGGTGACATGAATAATATCAAATGGTAAAGTATAGATTTCAATAATAACAAATCTGAATTTTAAAATTCTTACACATCCTTGAATTATATCAGTACTTATATATTGCTCAAATGCAAGAAGCTATAACAAACTACTATTTATTAATTCTAAACATATTCACACACACACACACACACACAAAACTCTCCTTCAATATCTTCATACCTGAGTGTCCAAATTCTCGCACATTTTCATAAGTAGAGGAGCTCCTTTACGATAATCAGCAAGTGTAAGGCAAACATCATGATGTTTCAACAGGCCATCCTCATTTAATGTCCATTCCTAGAATACAGAATAAATAGTAATAACATATTAAATATTTTAGAATACAGAATGTTCTTTACTTTCTCAATACTATTTCAAATTACAGAATAAGTAAAAACATTTCATCATGTCCTGGGAATTGAAATGATTAAAAAAAATTATTAAATTATTCACAACATGACAAAGATAATAATAAATAAATACACTCAAAGAACACAATTTTATATCTGGTATACATTTCCAAATTGTAATGGCTCAACTTTCCATAGGAGGTGCCATGAACGAAATGTGATAGCTTTTATAGCTCACCTGATTTCCACCAGTATGATGACATGCATATAATCCCACACCAGAATCAAGGAGGTGTCCTAAAGTATCTATACATAATCCATTTTGCTGTACATAACTTGTAGATGACGGCCCCAACCCTGGCAGTTTCAGTTGTGGGTAGACTGTGTCCAGATACCATTTGAAGGGCTTACAGTGCAGCTTCTCCTTCAGAGCTAAACGATCTTGAATGCTGAAATGAAAATTATTATTTGCTCATTTTTTAATATTATTTATTCAACGTATTAAAAAGTTGAGAAAACTTTTATCCATAACTTGTAGAAATCAGTGTAAAATTAAGGGTTCAAGATAGCCAAGCTACACTACGTAGTTCTTTCTTTGACCGCTAGATCGCATTCCGGTACTTATCGATAGTGAGACCCGGGAAAATTCAGTTGGAAAGTCGTACATGAACATTTAATTAAGATTATATGAAGAGAACAATCAATTACCTGAACTCAATGGCATATTTGGGATGTAATTATTAAAGAATAGAAAATTACTGATTTAGTAACATTTAACTTTCGACGAGAAAGATTTTACTTGCATCAAAATGTTCAGGAAGAATGCAAAATTACAATGTTCTGCCTATACAATTATTTTGAATGCATACAAGCACAAAATGTATCTATATACAGAAACATTAAAGATTTATTGAAACAAATACGTTTAAGTTGTAAACAGAAATATTTTTCACAACATACTCGTATTACATTAAAGAGATCATCTGGACTTTGTAATGAAAGTGATTGGAAGTTCTCGTTTTAACTGTGTACAAACATTTCCTTAACCTAATAAAATATGATTTCATCGAATGATTGTCAGTAACACATTTATGGCAATAACTGCTCTTAATACGGGTTATATTATCCCTTTTTAGTGCTTCGTCATGTGTTCTTGAAGGAGAGCACAGCATACGAAACGTTTAGGGAATGTTAATCGAATTAACTCAAGAAATAAAGATCCAAAAGCATGTCTAAAGTGTAGATCGGAAAACAAATTTATTTCTAACATTTCGAAACGTTGATTGTTATTATTTAATCACAAAACGCTAATTTCTATTTCATATTTCAAGTATGTGCAATCTCAAAGAATGTACTATTTCTATAAGATATATAAATTCTCTGATGACAATCCAAAATACCATAAAATAGCCACACTCGTATGACATAAAATGACCTACAATTCTAAAGAAAACTTAGCCATTGACAATATGTCTGTTCTACCTCTGATTGATACGACGCCTGATCATCATGCGCCTGTGTGTTTACGACCTAGGCAGTCATTGCGTCATCCCGATAAAAATTTAACATACATCTTACTCACATAGGACAAAACTGACCTTGTTCCGATCATATAGCAAGGTCACGTAAACTCGTTACTCAAACTGTTAGCTACTGTGACAGGATGACCTACAACTCATTTTTAGGTTCGTGCTAATCTTTTGCGATTTCGTCGTATTGTATTACTAATATTCATGGAACCGTTTAAGCGGACACCTTTCAAGACGGCCTGCGAGTTACATTTTTAGAAAATACACTAAGTAAGTCACTTTGGGTGTAAAACCACAACAGTGTTTTCTGCGTGCCAGGGCGGCGAGCATTTTGCTGGGAAACACGTCGTTACAGCACAGCAGTTTGTCCGAGATTTCTAATATTTCATAACCTTAAGTAGCTTGTTCTTATGGTCAGAAAAATTAGTAAGCACAGTGTGCTTAATATTACCGAAGAAAAAATCGATGTACTTTGTTCGAAACGAACGCACACTCACAAAGAATATGTGTGTGTGTGTGTGTGGGGGGGGGAATTAACAGCAGCCCTAGATCGAACTGCAGCGTGACAGTTCTGTTTGTTGTGGCCGAAGTTCAGGAATTGCAAGGGGTCTTTCCGAGTACGCAAACGACCTCCCGAGTTTATAAATAGCGCTTCATTGTGAAAAAATGCGGCATTTTTTGCAAGTGAGATTCCTATGAGAAATAAATAGCGACGTAATGAGTAAATAACGCAAAATAGTTTCTACGAGTATTTCTGCTTCTGAGGACAAATGTGCAGAAGAATTAATAACTGATAATATTAAGAGGAACATTATTTTTTGTTTTTAAGATGTCAAATGTTATATCCTGTTCATGGGGCTTTCTTTAGTATAATCGAAGGACGTACCGATATCACTGAATAGGATGTCTAGATCCGCCGTTGCAACAGTTATCTGCGTGTAAGAAAGATAGTTGGATATTCTAAATTGATGGGTGAACTTTTGTGTTTCGCTTTTGCGCAGAACAAGATACGCCACACGATCAAAATGACTGATTGCCATAAACGATATCGTTCAGATGAATAACAATTAGATGAATGAAACAAGTTAACGGAGGAATATCAATTTTCATAGTCGAAATCCTCATCGGAACCAGTATATAAAATAATTTAGTCAATTAATTTGTAGTCGATTTCTATGCGGTAGATTTGTGGTTGATGGCTTAGCCATTGAAATCTATTGAATAATAGAAACGTCGATAAAGAAAGAGGTAAGCAACCTATTATTTCCAACATGCCTCCAAAGCCTCATCAGTATATCGTTTTAAAATAATATTCCAAAAATTGCACTTCGGTGACGCAATTAACCATTATTAAAAACCCAATGAGATTACTTTCAAATGTTCCGATACTGTTCACCGCGCTTCTCAGCCATTTATCGGTTAAATGAAGTTGAATGATTCAAATGCATTATGAAGAAAGGTTAAGTATAATACATACACACATGGAGCACGGATCACAGCAGCGTGGAATCGCAACGTACTGAAACACTCGAGAGCGAGAAAGCTGCCTATCTCACCAGTTTGAAGTGATTGGTTTAATGCCTTGATTCTGTTTAAGCTCTTGGGTCTCCGTGTGTCGATTTCTTTCCTACGCGTGTACAGGATTTTGACGGAAAATAAGGCATTGGGATACTCGATGGGCGTCACCAGCGCCAGATTATAGGAGGGACCGATTCAATAGATATGGTACTGATTATGGAAAGTCTCCTCCAATATACGATAAAAATATTAGGGGAACGCGCCCCCATTCCCGGTAGGCAACCCCCTGTCTATCTTCCCTGAGACTCCTCACTTGGATTTCTGCTTTCCTTGCTGACAAGACGCTGACTCCGCTGGATTTCTTCATTTAAATTTGAAAGTAGACTCAGAATTGCATAAAGATATTTCAAATAAAGTGCAAGTGTAAGTACTATAAACCTTTTACTAGTCTTTTCCTTCTGTGGGTAGATAGCGTCTTCCCACTTGCCGTCCCTCCCCTTTGGCCACTGATTGATTGATTGATTGATTGATAATTTCGTGCTTCCGGGCGTGTCAACTGCTATGCGCATTATTCCCGTAAATTTAGAGTATGTTCTTATCACGGGAGGTGGCGATGTTTTCCCTCTGCAGGACCCGGTGGGACCCGGCGCCGACCTACATGTCGGCTTGCACAGTTTTCCCCACCCCGATATCTCCCACCTGCTAACTTTCCGACTGGTCTCCCGACATATGTGGTAGTGCAGTGCATGCGTAAGTAAGGGAGGAAGACGGAACACGGAATAGGAAGAGGAAGGAAAGATGGCTCGAACCGTGGTCCGCTCGTTAGGGCGCTGCTCCGACAGTCGCTAGGAGTCTGCTCTTGGGGCTGGCTCCGGACACTCACTTGCCGAACGGGATGTTGCGCGCGAGGGGCACTGCGGCGTAGTAGTATTCCTTGTAGTCGTCCATCCAGACCTCGGCGGCGCGGCGCGTGTTGCGCGCGAAGACGATGCCGCTGCCGCCCGGGAAGGTGTAGGGGTGGCGCTTGCGGAACACGTGACCCACGCGGCTGCACGGGATGATTTCCAGGCTGCCGCCGCACTGCCACACGCGGAACGAGATCTCTGCAACAAACCGCCGCCCGCGTTAGACGCACCAGCTGGGGAAGGCCATCAGCCAACGAGCTTCAAACGCAACTGCATATGGACTTGCCTACTGGGAACAAGCGAGTTTCCGCACTTGGAACAAGACCTTTGCAATACACCCTCGCTACCTCGCGTCAGACACATCGCTTAAACTTACTGCAGTTCGTTGACAAGTTGTTCCTAAAAAAGGGGGAAAGGAGAGAAAAACTAGTGGTGGCACAGAACGGAACGGCACAGGCTTTCTCGTACTAGTTAGTTTTCGAAAATCTTTGCTCTGGCCTAGATTTTCTGTCTTGCCACATACTTTTGCCAACTGCCTTTTCTCGCCACCTAAAGTACATTTTTACTTTCCCGTATAGTACATGTATTCGGAGGAATATATAGAGAAAGTTGTGTAATGCTGCGGAAAATTGATTTCGAAATTTCAACGGAAATACACGTTTTGTGGTCCCCAGATACCGAAAAAGTGTTCTGGTTGTGTTTTTTGTTGTTGTTTTTTCCCAAAACGTCCGTCCGTCTGTCCGTCTAGTGCCTGTGAACACTACTAGTTCCAACCCATGCGTAAGATTTTGTTGTTTTTTTTAATTGAAGAAACCCCTGTCCATCTGACTTGAGTCAATACTTTGAGATTTTGAAAAACATTCTTCAAACCTTGGGGGTAGTTTATAAGAACCCCTCTGGGCATTTTCAAAATTTTCTCAAAACCGGCTCCAATTTTTTTTCTTTAAATTTCTATTAAGAATAGAATAACATAAATGTATAAACGTGGCTTAGGTCCGATTTTCACTGTTCACTATATATTTTCGAAAATTTAAAAAGTATGAATTGTTTCTGGAGTCTTCCTACAACTACAAAATTAAATATCGAGAATTTCCCTTCAATTCATTTTTTTTTGCAGTAAGATGTTTCGAAATGTGCAAATAGATAAAGGCGAATTATTACTTCCTATAGACTGATCTGCGTTGTAGACGGAAGAGTCAGGAACAGGAAGTATTGTAGGGGAAAGGGTAGAGGTGAAACGAGGAATGTTCAATCATGAAAGAGGTGTCTATACTAAATTACTTCGAGAGTACGTTCACACATACTAATCGATTTAAAGCAACCAAAATATCACTTTCAAGATTAAAGGTAAACAATTACTTAGAAGGATTCTTTGAGAAAACATCCTCTCTGTATCAACTCATTTGCACGTGAAGCTTTGTAAACGTTACGGTCTAATTACTACAAATCAAATTATACCCCGGTATTGGCTCCGATAACCCATCTAACAATTCTCATGCTCCGTGATTAATTACGGCTTCTCAGTACTACATTAGAGGAGAGGTGGCTTTAGGTTCTGTTCTCCAGATTATCAGAACCCTTTCACAGAAATCAGGCGACTTCGCGAGTAATTAACATGATTATCTACATTCGCGTTCCTTCCGGGAAGTCTGCCGTTAAGAGACTGCCGCCTGCGTCAAAGTTTCCAATGGCTGGATTTTTCTGAAGAAAAATGTAATGTGACGCCTTCACCTTCACCTGAACTTTTATAACACAAAAGTTCGTGATGGGATAATGAAATTGTTCTTCACGAGGAATGCTCAGAATTTGTTTTCAAAATCTCTGTGAGATAAAGAGTGGAATGAATGGAATGATTAGGAAGTTCAAGAACAGTTACTAATAATGAAATTTTGCTAATAAATATTCATATTGCAATTTTTTCTATAATTTTCGAACTTTCTTTGGGTCACACACGATCAAAATCATGTATTCCTAGCAAGTAAATATCTGAGCATCTTGGACTTAATTTTCAGGCGTACCGTGAAACAGCGTTACCATCCACGCGCATTTCCCTGTTCCAATTTGAGCAATTTACCTTCCATATCTAATGAGGATTATGGGGCGAATCCTTTTAGAATTTAAAAATGGCGTTCAATGACGTTTCTTTACGAGCGCTTATATAAATTTAACTAATAGCTAAGCAAGGTAATTAATCTAAATACATATGCGGAATGTAGAGGTAGAATCTAATTGAAAATTATAAGTATGTAGTAATTCGAAGTGAACTTGACAACAGGACGCAAACGACAATGATCGACAAAATTTATCTTCGGCATATGTGAGTAAATTAAGAACACGAAAGTGGTAAATTGCAAATTTTCTAATACGTCTTTTACTTACCAACAGTTCTGAAGTAAATTTTACTCTGCACACATTTAAAAGGCAAAATGACGGGCATGCTTATATATCATTCACTTACCCAAGTTCTCCCCGCCCCACACGTCCATCTGCATGTCGTATTTGCCGAGCAGCTCGAAGTACGCCTTGTCGATGACAAAAAGTCCGCCGGCGATCATAGGCGTCCTGCAACAGGTGCGTTCTTCAGTACGAGCAAGTGCTAAGGAAAGTAGATGGTGAAACACAGTACTTTCGTATTTCTTCATTAAACAATGAAAGACTTAAGACACTACAATTACAAAATTGCGAGATTACAAAATACTTAAGATATAGAGTCACTTCATTCAAGAACGCTCCTTTTTATCCATTACTGCAGACGGTATCTTCGTAACACTCTTTTAGTATCCGATTATTTAAAATCCCTTTATACGTCAGAAACAGTGTGAAATAAAATGTTTGCAATTTTCGACACTTGAGGTGTCCTTTAAGGTCCTAAACATAAGGACTTGATATTTGCCGAATTAAAAGATAAAGTCTAATGAAGGCCGTTCTATTGGGGAAATGGTTGCGAAACAGCTTTTGAGAATGCTAAAGAGTGAATAGTGGGATAAAAGGTGTAATTTTAATAAGTATTTTTCACGCAACAGGGACACTGAATGTAGTACGTACAAGTATATTGGTTGCCGGTGGAGTTCGGAGAAGTACAATGAAAGATTCTCCGTAGCATTAGCGCGATGACAGGTTTTCCGGAGCTCAAGAAAACGTGCACAGATTGCACTGTACCCTCATACGTCACACACGGTATTTATCTTTTGGGCGTTAAATAAATAAAGTTAATAGTAGTTTTTGACCTATTGGTTAAATGGAGAAAATTCTTGGGTTTGGGTCAGTAAAGTAAGATGACATTATATCATTACTGCCAGTATTTCGGTTCTATATTGGTACTAACTGTAGGAACAAATGACTAAAGTGTTGTAAATTTAATTGTTTTGTATGTATAGTTTAACTCTAGCTATGAATAACTGTATCCGGTTTCCTTTATTAATTAAAATGTTCGAACTTTTTCATTATATGTAGCCCCGAGGACAGTCCAATGTAGAGTCAAAATGTTGGCAATAATAAATAAAGTGCTCTTTATTTAACTAAGCCCAATAATCCACTTCATCATTAAACAAATAAAGTGGAAACCGGTACTACAAGGCGGAAAGTGACTGCGCAGCGGGTCGCTCGTTAACGGAGAAGCGGAGAAACGGCGTCGACCTGACGATGGAAACCGCAGACGCGTGGGCAGACGCGTAGAGGCGATGCGGCGCGACTACGAAGAGGGTGCAAGGCGGGGAGCGGGGCGACAGCACCGGCGGAGGTAGGCGAACACAATTCGCCTTCACACGAGGTTTGTTCCCTATTCATCGCTTGGCGCGCGAGATGGATTTTTTTTCCCTTTTTTTTTTTTCCGCGAGCACTAACCGCAGAATCGGTAATCACGCTCCATACACCGGATCGTTTTCAGCACAAACGGTAACATTGGCCCCCCGTACTGCAGAAAACGGAGAAGTTACTCCTTCTTCATTCGAATATATTTGTATCCGCAGAAGAGAAAAGGGTGGTGTGTGGCCGACTTCAGGAACCGGCCCTTGCAGCATGCCAAGGCAGTCAATCACTTCCTGACCTCGGAGGGCATTTTGCGATTTGTAGATTCAAAGAACCCAAATGACTCAATAGGTCTTCTTTCAACATTCCAGAATCATTCCACAGCTTTTTCAAAACCGCAATTAGTATTTGGCATCGTTTTTTAACGATCGATATAACATAATACAACTACTTATGCAACCAAAGTATTGAAAATATTGAAACATCGGCATTTTTCAACAGCAAATAATGTTGAAAATTATGAAACGTTTGTATCAAAGTTCTTGACTTCTTGTAAAAGGTATAATGTTTTGAAAATAAAATGTTCTTCCTTAATTTGTTTAATAAGCAATTCAAATGTATTAGTTTCTTTAAGTGACTGACATATACTTTATTTCTGTATTGATCTAATTTCCTGTATTTATTCCTATGGATTATCGTTTTCTCTTCGCCTGCTTTTCTCACGTATCGATTACGAAATGGTAATATGCAAAGTAGCAGAAATCATCAGCGAAGTTGTAGAAATTCATTTTAATATTACAGGTTTTTCGCTCTCAGATGATGCCAGGGACGTTTTCTCCGCGTCACAGTGCGCGTATTGGCTATGGACGGTTCTTGCCTTGTCGAGCTTACGTCGCCTTAGGTTTACAGTCGCTTGCGCTTTAGCCGTCGGCCTTTGCTGAGCCCTAACGCCACCATCTTAATGCCATTTTCCCGCTTGTGCTACGTTAAACCACGTAAGTAGCGGCGTCTGGCCAAGTTTCTTTCTTTCAAGTGAGTCGTAACTTTTTGCCACATAACTTCCATTAGCCTGTGTTAAGCCACTCTGCTAAGGTAGGGTAGCTTAAGAGTTTTAGTGTAACTACTCAAATACCTTTCAAATGAAGTTTAAAAGGCATGTCATTTATGTGTATTATTTTGTTTTTGCACCATTCAGTGGGGACTACAGTTATTTAATCCTGTCATTCTTATACCGAATTGTTGATCCTGAAATGAAGTTTAGTAATGGGCTTTCGAATAACATGGAGTTGGTCGTCATTATGTAAAATTGTGTCCATGTAGTGTTAGTGATGCCGCCACTCTAAATCTGCAAATTCCTTTGGCAACGTATTTATGCTGAATTGTGTCAGTTTTACAGGAATGAACCTTGATGTCTACACGAATTTTCAAAGTGCAATGATTTACAAACTGCACTGCGAACGTTCCTGTTCTGCCGCATATCAACTTTAATTTGTATCTGATACAGAATCTGACAGGCCCTGCGTCATGTTTTCGTACATGTTTTAAAGAAATATATTCCTGCATAAATGTGTATTTTTGAAGAATAATCATTTTTAGCTGTTTATTACAAAGTTCATTTCACATGTTAATTGGTAAAGTAATTGTGTATTCATATCTGTTACTAAATGTACGGTAATTTTCATTTCTAACTGTTAACAATTAATATTACGAATAACTGGTTTTTGTTATTTGAATTTCTTTTAGAGACAAGCAATTATATAAAGAGGGGTCAACAAATAATTTTATTGACGAATCAGTATGTGTTATTTTTAGGTGACCTTAAACGCACGCCGCGAGCACGGTGCACGCCTGGTGCATGCCGCGAGCACCAACGCACGCGAGAAGGCGAAAGAAAAAATGCAAGTAAAAGGAACATCGTGGCTTCTTGAGATTCATCTACAGCGAATCCGGTTTGAAGGCCAACGAGAATTCTAAAGCGACCAGCGCAAAAGGAACTCTGCACTATTCACGTCGCATGTCTCTTCAACTACGTCGTTTCGTCTGAATGGTTCGGTTGTTGACTCCGGAGGCCGTTGCTCTGCTCGAGCAGAAGGGCATTCGCGCGGAGGAGGGCGAGCCAGCGCATCGAGACGACGATGCGAAGGCCCTTCGACTCGCAATGAAAACAGTGGAAGGCCGTCATGCAAATGGGGACGGATATAATCTCGCCCTACTCCGCGATCATGTTTTCCCTCGAAAATATTTGCGGACGGGAAGGGAAGAGAAACTTCCATCTCTAAAATGGTCGATTTTTTTTGGGTTACCACCATCAGAGCTTCCTCCTTCACTTAAAGAGGCCAATGTCTGTTTATGTTCTAATGTAGACGATTCGCTGATATTCATATACTACAGCGGAATACAATAAAAACAGTGCTGTGGTTATGGAAATTTGAATACGTTTGTTTCAAATGTTTTCTCAAGCGGACATGTCAAAAGTCTTCTTCATATTATATTTGAACGAGTATTTCCCCGCGCTTCTTGCATGTGAATCTCTTGAAGACTTTCCAAATATTCCGATCAGTCTCTATTGTTTTTCTCTTCTTGACTTTCGTCATGAAAGGCTCTAAACATGATGCGGCTTTCATTGAATTTTTTTTTTTTACCTTTGCGAATAAAATTATCCTCCGTTTCTTTTGTTATTTTGATTGCCAGTGGTATTTAAGCAGATCCTCTCATCAACTCATTATTTACATTACTTAAAAATATGGTACGTTATTAATGATTGGGTTAATATTTAAGAAGAATATGAAAAAAATGTTCGCTTGGAACTTTCTTAATATTCAGCTGTACAACTGAATCGTTTTCACGTCACATTCACAAGTGAGCGGCTGGCTTCTTAACCTCTATTAAACAATGAAACGATAGTAAGAATAAATAAAACTAATTATTGATAACGCAGCAGACAGTTTGAGAAAATCTTTATGGAGAAGTAACTAACTTATTTTCAACAATTAATTTTTTTTTAAATGAGGAAGATGACTGCTTTTTTACTTATCTATAATTAATGATATATGGTATTTTTGTTTTTCAGCGCATTCACGAGACTGCTTGTAAATATCTACGAACTGTATCGAACCTAATATCTTTGGTCTCGCTTCTAGGGCCACGCTACACCTGGGTCAAACCTCTAAGTTCCCTTTTGTCACTATTTCTTTGTTTCTCACATTTTATCAGGGAGCGGATCGGCCTATCTGGGAGTTCTCTAAATAGATTCCACGGGTGATTTGATCCCATCGCCGCAATGCACCGCCGAGCGGGCACGCTATTCAATACTCCGCCGGCGGTGACCAGGGGGCGCAGTGGGGGGGGGGGTGAGTGCATGAGTGGCAGCAGGGCGGCCGAGAGAGTAATGACCGAGGTCAGGGGCTGCGTGCGGCGCCGGGAGGAGGCTGCGGGGAGGACACCGCAAGCGCGGCGGGCGGCGCGGGGCGCGTCTGCGGTCGGCAGCGGCGAATCGCGCGGCGGCGGGGGCGAGGAGGCCGCGTGCGTGCAATTGCCTCGGGCCAGGCGGCCGACCGATGCTCGTGCACCTAATGAACCAATTTACTGCATTTCACGTCAGAAGAACAAGGTCAATGCCGTTGTTCGTCACAGACGACAGGCCATCGAGGCATCAATAAAGATGTAACTAATTATTTACGAGAGATTGCGTCGTGTGTGAGCGTAAACAGCACTTATTTTTCTTTTCTATTAGAAAAGTCTTAACGCAGATATCAATACAACATACATTCGCAGTTTCAGCACAAACCGCGAGAGACTATTAAGAAAGTACAAAT